GACTCTGAAAGGCTGTCTGATTGGATCGACAAGCATAATATTCTCAGGTTTCAAATCGGCGTGAATCAAGCCGAGCTGCTTCAGTTTGAGTAGTGCTGTCAAAACTTGTTGGAGAATCGGTCGAATGTATTTTAAGGGTAGTGGAGAAAATTTGTTTTGTTTGAGAAAATCGTAGAGATTTTGCTCCAGCATCTCAAAAACGAGGCAGGTATGCATTTTATGCACGAAGCATTCATAAGCACGGACGAAATTATAGTCATCTCCATTTTCTGCCGACAAACGCTGCAGTATCGACACCTGTGGGCAGACACGTTCGTTTAGTCGATTAGCGAGCGATCAGTGATCAGAGAATGATGACGCTTCCATCTATAAAGACGTCCTCCTAGCTGTCTCGGAGGAAGGGGGACGACGAGAATCGGGCAACTTACTTCGATTTGTCCTTGTCTTGCGTAAGAAGGATGATTTTTTAGGATTTTGATCGCCACGATTTCATTGGTTCCTTTCTTCCAACATTTCACCACCTGAGAGGATGCTCCGTTAGACTTTCCGAGTCCAATTTTATTTTTCCTCATCATCGTACGACGCGTCGTGGCGAATGTCTATTCTCTGCATGCAGACCTGGCACCGTCGCGTCGTCTACTGACCTGTCCAAAAGTTCCTCGTCCCAAAAACTCGAGAACTTCGTACTGATTACCCGCAGTCGAGTATAGAACTTCGTGTTGCACAAGCTGATAGTCGCCTTCTGAAGTCGAAGAAGAGGACACGACCTTCTTCTGTTGCCCCATTTTGGTTCTCTTCGATTGCCCTCCGGCAGTGGATGATGAGTGAGTGTTCATCGGAATCCCTCCTCCGCCTGAGGACGAAATCGTCGTCGCTCCGCCAGATCCGCCGTAACCAACACCTGATGCTTCCGCCTGATGAATGGATACGAAGTTTATCATCTGCTTCCATCAACTACTCCGAAAAGCTCCCGTGCTGAGTCAGCGCGGAGCGCTCAGGGGTTTCAATGACGACACCGTTGCCTCATAAACCATGAAGAGGAAGGTCATCGATCTGTCGCTCTCTAATAAGGGAGTGCATAAACTCCTTCGGCTATGATATCATGACCATAAATGTATTTTATCGCTGCTCTCCGCGATTGAATTCGACGAGGCCGTCTACGGAATAGCGTGTCAGGACGGCGATTCGACGTTAGACTCACCTTTCTCTTCCTAGACGAACTAGAGCTACTGGTTCCACTGATTGTGGCGTGCTGTGGGTGGGTAACGGCGGAAGTTGTTCTCACAGAGAAGGAGTTCGAGCCACTGGTCGAACCCCCAGCCGTTG